TAATTTTCAGTGTTTTCATGTTGCAGTTGATCAACATGTTGGCCTTTTGCTTCCCGTAGATACTTTAAAATTTCTTCATAACACCTCGTTCGCACACATGGCCGTATATATTTAAATTCTTGAGCCACTAACAGTCCGAAATACTCATTTCTTTTATCCTCTTCTCCATAAATTAAGCATTTAGAACAGTTTGTTTCTTCTTTCAGTAAATTTTCTTTTACTTTATCCTCGTTTTTTTCTTTGTTGCGACGACGCTGGGTAAATCATCTGGACACTGGGTCTCACTATCGCCAAATATATTTGGAGATCGGCTTCGGCTACGGCTTGGCAGACATTTTTTTCTTTCTACAATTTTAAATTAAATTTATTAGAATAAATGCTTCGAACACACGCGATCTAAGTACCTTTTGTGTTTATTATACCTTACCTACCTAGGTATAAAAAGAGTACTTACGTAGATTTTCTTTTATTAACTGTTTTATACGAAGATCTTGATCTCTCAAATTAGCATCCATTTTACTTCCAGTGATTATCAACTAAATTAATAATCCACAAAGTATTAAATAACGTTTTTATGAAATATTTAGCACAAAAACAATACCCTTTAAATATCGATCGTCAGTAACTGTGGCTGACTTACCTATATTCTAGCAAGCAGGACTGCCAGATGTGAAGGGGAAATCCCCAATAAATTGTTGCATGTGACTGATGATGTGAGCATGTTCGTTTCATAATAAAAATGTTGCCAGGTAACCAAAAAGTCGTATGTTTTTGTGCGAATTACGATCATAATCTTTACGATCGTACATTAAAAAATAGACAAATAATAGTATGAGTACGATTTAAATCGTATATCTGTCAACCCTGCTAGCAAGACAGCGACAAAATCACGTTGCATAACAATGTAGCCCAAGCTTATATCTTATGAAATATACGGAAGAGATACGGACTTAGAAAAAACAGAAATGTTGTTCTTTGTGGAAGTCATTGATGAAATTCTATGTATTTTAGCCCGCAAACTTTCTTCAAACAAAAACAGCGCCATCTAGTATCGAGTTCTGTAATTATCTCTTTGTTTATGGATTTGAAGTAAGACCGCCACGCATGCAATACATTATGACTGGGGATTCCCCTATTCGTCGACGCTGAATATGAGGCGACGACAATCACTGTCAAACGTGTTCACTATTACTCTGACTCTGGTAACGTGACTTCCTGGTAACGTGTTAGGTAGGAAAAGCAGTAAAAAAGTGCATATTAAGGGAGCAGATTTGAAATAATATTTATACTTAACAAGAAATAATTAAAGGTAAGTGGATTTTTGAATGATACAATTATATCATGATCACTTAACAATTTTAACTTAAAATTAGATGTATTATTACAAGCTTTTATTTAGCTTGCGTTATGTAAATAAAAGTATGTAGGTATGTTCGTATGTTGATGCAATTATCCTCAATCCTCAACCGACTGGGATAAAATTTTCCATACACGTTTATTTTGGATGATAGTGCATAGTTAGCTGAGAGTCGTCATTGGATAATAATGGTGGATAGCCTAAGATGTGTACTAGATATTTATTTTTAACATAATATGCGTAAGTACCTAATCGAATTAAAGAAGTTGCTGAGAAAAATACAGAACAATACGATAATAAACTAGCGTCTGCGTTTAATCCTCCGAGGAGATGTAATTTTACAAAGGTTTTTTGTATTTATTTTATTATTTTTTTAATAAATTTATTGTAAATAACAAGAAATAATCATTGTAAAAAAATAGGCACTCTATTGTTGAATTTTCGTCAGACCAACTAATCATCGTTCATTTTTTTAGGTTCAATGGGGAGACCTAAAGATTTACGCATATGGGAGCACTACCGTACTTTACCAAACAAGTCTGTTTCTTGCAAGCTTTGTAATAAGGTCTACAAATTCAGTAATGCTGCCAAAATGCTTCAACATCTTATCACTTGTCCAAAATCTCCAGAAACATTAAAAGACTCTATGAAACTTATAAAAGATAGCTCGTCCAAAACCAAAATGTCTGGACTGTCAGAGATAGAGACAAATGATTCTTTTATAAGCCCCTCGTCGTCTGCTAACACTACAATAAATGCTGAGTTTCAAGACACCGATGATCATATAAAAACAGAATTAGCGAGAGCTATATTTGTAACAGGGACGCCATTATCGATGGTGCAACATCCTTTATGGATACAATTTTTCGAAAAATTGCAACCAAAATTTAAAATACCTTCACGTAAAGCTTTAGCGACAAAATACTTAGATAAAATATATAGAGAAATGCGTTTTGAGTTAAATGAGGAACTAAATGCTTGTAGTTACTTACACCTTCAGTGCGATGGCTGGTCTAATTTAAGAAATGAAGGAATAATAAACTTTCTTATATCAAAACCTCAACCTGCATACGTTAAAAGTTTGAATACAGAAAGTAATCCTCACACTAGTGAATACCTTAGCCAAGAAGTTGAAAAAGTAATGAAAGTGTATGGAGCAAATAAGTTTCTTGTACTTATTGGCGATAACGCTAGAAATATACAAAAGGCATTCGAATTAACAAAACTCAAATATCCACATGTTGTTCCTCTCGGTTGCTGTGCACATATCCTTAACTTGTTGTGCCAAGATATTGTAAAGATACAAGAAGTAACTGTGTTTATTATGCAAGCCATAAATATAATAAAAACTGTTAAAAGGAGTCAACGATTAAGTTCCTTGTTGATAAAATCAAGGCAGGGTGAAGATTCTACACAAACACTAAAATTGCCTTGTGCTACAAGATGGGGAAGTCATGTTACTTCGTTAAAAAGTTTGAAAGCAAATAAGATAGCTTTGCAAATATTAACAGTTAGAGAAGATGTGGTAATTTCAAGAGATATTAAAGATTTAATTCTAAGTGATGATTTCTGGACGAAGACAGGGGAATGTATAAGTATTTTGGAACCAGTCACTGAAAGCATATTTTACTTAGAGAGCGACCAGAATCGTTTGCATCGCACATACATTACATTTAGAGATGTACAAGCTAAGATACGTTTTGCATTAAATGAGATTTCGACATTGAGCGAAGAAAGCAAACAGCAGATTCTAACATCAGTATCTTCAAGATGCAATATGGCAATGAGGCCAATACATTTTGCAGCATATATTCTAGACCCCAGGACTCTAGGAGTCGAACTTACTCAAGAGGAAGAACTTAAGGGTATGGAGTTTATCTACAATTTAAGCCAACACTTAAGTTTGTCAAATGTAATGGCAGATTTGGCGTGTTATAAAGCTAAAGAAAACTTTTGGGCCAGAGGATTTGTATGGAGCTCATTAGATAGCATTGAGCCCCTAATATGGTGGAAAGGTATTTGTGGTTCCACTGAGTTAAGCAAAGTAGCGATTCGTATTCTATCAGCTCCCTGTACTTCGGCAGCCACTGAGCGTTCCTTTAGTATCCAAGGCTACATACATAATAACAAAAGAAATCGACTTACAACTGAAAGAACTGAAAAAATTTCATTCATTTGTTATAACTGGAATCTTAAACATAAAGCTGAATGCGAGGACATTCAGTTTAATGAAGAAAATACCTTAGAAGCTTTCATTGAGCAAGTAAATGAACATAACAGTTTAGACGAAATAGAGCCTTTTTTTTTTTTTTTTTTTTTTTTTTTTTTTTTTTTTTTTTTTTAACGTGAGGAAATCTTCCAAAGACCTTCCCAACTGCCGAAGGGAAGGCAGGGGGGGTGTGTGGGATTTTTACCCACTAAAACCTCACGACGTACCTCGAGGCGCATATGTCGGGTCCCCGGGTTCCCGAGTTGAAGACGACCGGAGCCCGACGCGACGGCCCGCCCTGTAGATGTTGTAGGGCAGGCCACCTCTCGTGTTTAGGATGGGGAATGCCCTTCCCATCCTACCGTCTCAGGAGGCACACGGGTACGTGCGCATACCTCCTAGGGAACTTAGTGGGGTGTGCCTCCCTCAAGGCTGCACCCCGGCCCTAGTAGGGAGGGGGGGGGAAGCGGAGTTGGGCGCGCCCCCTCTCCTTCGCCTGACTCGACGGCGGCGCATGGCGGGAGCGGTGGAGGCACTCTCACGCTCCCGCTCAGCTGCTTCCTTCTGCGACATCACCGCGTCACAGAAGGTGAGTACGGCTTTCCACGACCTCTCGCTACTGACCATTCTCCGAACTACATTCGGCAGCGAGAGGTAGACGAAATAGAGCCTATCGAACCTATACAATTCATCGCTTGTAATAACTCTGAATCTGACAGTGATTGACTGTAGTTTTACATTTTACTTTCATCTCTTTCTTAATAAACTCAAAATCAAATTAAAAGTTTTTTATTCTGTAGGCTGCATAATAATATTGTCTATGTCCAGTATAGTGGACGTCTTGCGGCTGAGATGACGATGATGAAGTACAAAATCATAAACACCCAAAAATTTGGGTGTTTATGGGGTTTAAACCCAATAAACCCAAAACACCCGGTTTTTACCCACCAGACTTTAAACCCACCCAGGTGGATTGCCCATCTCTAGCTACAAATAACAGTTAGTTTTTATATTGTATATAATTGTTATTGGAGTCGATTCAGAGGTGCCTTTTTTCTAAAGTCATCTCTAAAATTAAAATTTCAATTTATTATAACATCAAAATCTTTATTCTAAGAACCAAAATGAACTAAATTTCTAATAGATTTATTATAAATTTATTTTATGATGGTGCATAAGACAGTAATTTTGCGAAATTACCAAATTAAAATATTAGGTTAAGAGATAAATTCAGAGAAATGGCACCTCAGAATCGAGTCCATTAAACCAAAAAAAGAGAAGGACCTTCTATTGTATTTTGTTGTATTTGTGTTTATTATAAAGAGTAAAATTTAAATCATCAGCAATCTTAAGAACTATTGACTATTCTACGCGTGAAACTAAATGTTAAAGTGAAAAGGAGAGAAAAAAAAATTACACTCTTATACTAACAGGCTAATAGTATTGTGAATTTAACCATCTTAAAAAATGTTTTCTAAAAATTCTAAAAAATTTGAGCCCACTATTTTCACATTTTCTTTCTATATTTGGGGAAACTACAGTTTTATTGGTAAAATTGTAATGATTCAGATTTTCTCACTGTACATTACGCAATACGTTTGTTAACTCTTGGTTGGTTAATTCTCTAACCAATTTTGGTGTTTCTCTTTTTAATCGACAGGTGTTCTTTTTTGTTGAATAAAACCTCAAATTATAAGCAACTTAAAAAGGAGAATATAACATTTTAGTCGCATGAAAATGGCGAATTAAAAACATTTATAAAAAAGAAATATAGCTACTCAATAGACGTTTTTGTTTGACTAGAGCAAAAATGAACTGCTAATGAAAATATCGGCTGGCTCTCGAACAATGGCTTTGTAATGAAACACCGAAGACGGCCCTGTATATTAATATCTTCGAATATCTAGTCATGCGAATAATAAACAGATTGCAACGTTTTTAATCGACGTTAACAGTATAGAAGGTTCACAGGTAGATATATTTAACCAACTTTAAAAAGGTTTTTAATTTGGTCGCATTTTATATGTTTGTCTCTTCAGAACTCCGTCATTGATGAACCGATTTAGAAAATTTTATTTTAACTGAATATTTTATATTTTAAGATTGGTACCATAGAAATTTTATTAAAATCGGTTTAGTAGTTTGATTTTTAAATAAAAATAGTTGATTTGATGTTCGTGTTATATTTTTTTTTGAATTCAATTTACGTTTAATTGTTATTTGTATATTTATTATTCTACTAATATCATACATGTTAAAATTTTTAAGGATGTTTAGATATGTTTATGTTTCTTACTCAATCATGCTTAAACTACTGAACAGATTTTAATGAAATTTAGTACACGGGACAGTTATATCCTAAAATATAATTAAGTCGGTTATATCCTAAAATATGTACCAGAGGGAGACTTTGTACAAAAGTCGATTGCTTGGGTACCTCTATCCCATTCGTGTTTCAACCGTGAAGCAGCTGTGTTTGCATGGCTGTGTTTCGGTTTGAAGGGTGGGATATAGCGTGAATTTACTGGATACAGAGGAATAACACCGGAATCCTCAGGAATGGCAACGCATGGGGGGTATCATGGGCGAAACAGTATACTCTGTTATGTCCATGGTACTGCTCATGTCTATAGGCGACGGTTACAACTTTCCATCAGGTGGACCGTCAGCTTGTTTGCCATTCTAAGTTGTATAAAAAAAAATATAAGAAAATTTATAAATTTATTTTACATACTGACGCATGTCGGCATTGTTTTTTAAAACAGCTAATGTGGAACATACTTATGTTAATTTAGGTACGATTTTAATTATTCTTTTCATTTGTATCAAGAACATAATTGTACATATGAACATCAAACTAGTAATAAAAAATTACTTCATGCCCGTATCATTCTATAAATGGCTTGTACGTGCTAAGAAAGAATAACAGGCGATTGTCTCATAAAATCATAAAATTTCTTAATTACTTTTTAAGCGATTTTGTAGTAGACCTGTAGATACTATACTTTAGATATTTAATAAATAAATATCACAGGAATTTATATCATCTTGTTTCAAACTAAGCAGGTCGATCTCCACGTGGCCTTTTATTTCAGTTATTTTTTTTACTTTAATTATGCAGTGTGGACACATGTCGGGCTATAATAAAAAAAAAAAAGTTAAACGAATTTCAGGGTATGAAGGTACAACTGTGTCTTTGTGCGTGTAAATGATATGCCTACGATATAAAGGTCTACATAAAGGAAATTTATTCTATTTGGTCATCCGGTGCCGAAAGGATAAAGAAACCAAGTCAAACAGTTCTTCGGCCTACTCTCCGGTATGTATTCTATAGATTATAGCGAGTCGCGCAAATTTGTGAGGTATTCTAGATTTTAAAATCCATGGATGTATTTCAGTTTCAAAGGATGAAATATGGTAGTGCAATTACAGGGTACAGAGGCATAATCCCATAGTGTTATTATATGTGGTGTGTTAGTAATATGGACTACCAGTCCCATTGCTAGCAATATGCCTTATCAGGTCGACCTCCACGTGGTCTCCCCTGGAAAACATCGTGCTGAATTCCAGGTGTATTCGTTATGATGGGCTAACTGACCTACCTTTTAATTCTCACCTATCATTCCTCACTGGTGCCCCGCCAGTGTATACCGATAGCGCAGGCGGCGTTACCATTCCATTATCATCCATTAAAAAACCCCATATTCCTCTGGATTGTAATGTTTATGGTGTTGTTCATATCAATATGCCATTCATTGCCAGTAATTGTCATTACCGCTTTCCATCAGGTGGACTGTCAGATTGTTTGATATGCTAAGGTTTACAAAAAAAGGTTTTTTTTATACAACTTAGAATGGCAAACAAGTTGACGGCCCACCTGATGGAAAGTGGTAACCGTCGCCTATAGACATGAGCAGTACCATGGACATAACAGAGTATACTGTTTCACCCATGATACCCCTCATGCGTTGCTATTCCTGAGGACTCAGATGTTATTCCTCTGTACCTTGTAAATTCACGCCATATCCCACCTTTCAAAGCGAAACACAGCTATGCAAACACAACTGTTTCACGGTAGAAACACGAATGGGACAGAGGTACCCATTATAACAAACTATATATAACAGAAGGTAACCTTGGAACCTTATACCGAGTCATCAGAGTAACGTAGTAATAGTAAGCTAATATTCTCCATTAATGCGGAGAGGCCGGTGCGCAGCAGGGAAATGTTAATGGTTTGTTATGGTAATTAGTGACACGACACACATTCACATGGTTTACACAGATTGTCTCATCCCTCGTTAGGACACCCTGTGTTATGTAACCAGATAATATGCAGAATCATAATACGTACTTAGATAGAGAAAATATAAAAATAAGTTTGAAAAGATTTCATTTCCTTTCTATACTAAAAGTCTGTTATATTTCGGTTTGAAGGCTGAGATACAATAGTGATATTATAAGGTACGGCAACATAATTTGATAGTTAATGGTGAATTTGTCAAGAATGGTTATTTATTTATAATTTTTTTTATACAACTTAGAATGGCAAACAAGCTGACGGCCCACCTGATGGAAAGTGGTAACCGTGGCCTATAGACATGAGCAGTACCATGGACATAACAGAGTATACTGTTTCGCCCATGATACCCCCCATGCGTTGCCATTCTTGAGGACTAAGGTGTTATTTCTCTGTACCCAGTAAATTCACATTATTGTATATACTAATGAATAAATATGACAGTAGAAAACAAATGTACAAAGACAAATTTAACTTTATAAGAATTTTCTGCAAGCAAATCCAAAGTGGAAGGGAGCATAAATGTCAGCGGGTAAAGCGGTGTACAATATTGTGACAATTTACAAAAGAAAAGAATTAGGCAAACTTGAGTTTATATCTAATCAATTATATTATATTTATTTGTATACATATATATAATATATATATAAATATATAAAAATGAAAATATATATATATATCAACCATAATCCTATATTAATATCTTATTTATTTTATACTTTATTGTATACACACATATATATATATATATATATATATATATATATATATATATATATATATATATATATATATATATATATATATATATATATATATATATATATATATATATATATAAATGTCAGCGGGAATGTAGAACTGTGTACAATACTAAGACAATTTAACAACGAAAAAGACCTAGAAAAAGCGTTAATGGCTGATATAAAATACATATATACATACACTAATATACAAGTATGTTCATAAGGATAGAAGATGTTCTTTAAGCAGTGTGAATGGTAAAGGACCCGCTACAGGGTAAAGACGGGAGGATGGATTTTGAGGATAAGAGACTTCATCAAACGTCAGAATATATCACGTGAAATTTTATAAATAAATTATATTTGATAATTATATTTCTTAGTCTAGACTGTCAAAAAGAGCAGCCCTATGTTGTCTGCATTATTTCTGTGCAACAGTCGTGAGGTCGTTGGCCCAAGCATTGTAAACATTTCACTTGCATTGTCAATAAAGCTCTCGCAACGAAACGAAGGCATTTTGTTTATTAATATTATATTTCTATAATATAGAGGCATGCATAGAGGACTAGCTTTGCATTTATTCTTGTATCATCAATTTACTGTGAATAAATTACTACTATTATTAAAATTATTTCTAAATGTAATAATTAAAAAGTAATTACTAAGAAAAACATTATTTTTACGTGCGCAATACTTTTACTCAGATAAATGGTCCTTGTGGTTTAAAAAATGTCTCGATTGATCAAAAAAATGTTTAAAATATACAATAAAATGTTAAGGAGAGTACTATTAAAAAATAATAAGTGTAATATTTTTATTTTAACTTGTTTTATTCATACATTAGGAAAAATTTTCAGTGTACCCAATGTATCTGTATTTTTTATACTTTATTATTTTCGTTTCACAATTAAACAATTACGATTTATGAACTAGTTATGTATAAATTTGTTTTTTTTTTCTATTGTTTTACTGAATTAGGTGTTATCTTGCGAAGATTACTGGTTATTTGGTTAGAATTATTTTATTTAATTCCGCTACTATTAATATGTGTGCGGTTGCCAATCCTCGAAAATTGACTACTATTTTTATTACCAGAAGTTCTCTAACCTTATTAGAACGTTTTGCGACAAGAGTTTCTCCTCTAAACGAGACATGTTCAGGCAGATTAATAGACCGCTTATCTTTTTTTTTATTGAAGTGTTATTTTACAATTTATGTGCATCTTCAAGCAAATTAATAGATCACTTCTCTTTTTTGACGTGTTCTTTTATAATTTATGTATTTATTTATAAATTTGTACATATTTTTCAAAAATTTTGTCGATGAAATTTCTAATAGGAAGGAATATATTTTTATTGACCTTATTGGGTCAATGTACGAAATTCTATCAGCTTTGTGCGCATTTTATCATAAAATACGATCTTTTAAAAAGTTAAGTGCATGTCACAAGCAGTAGTTCAAACAACAAACTCGAGCTATTTGAAGTATTATCCTATTCAGGAGCTATACAGAGACTGTATTATCAAAAACAAAATTGGAAAATGGTTTATTCAAGCAAGAGTGTAAGATTCTCTTGTACTGTACATATGTAAACGGATATTTATATTTTGTAATTTATAATGTTCGTTATTTAAGAAGGGGGTGCGTTAGTTGTTTGAGAAAGCGTCAAGGGTGTCCTTCTCTAGAAATCTGTCCGACTCTAGAATAACGCATACGGCATACGGGTATGCGACCCCGGCCTCCCGAGCCGCTGCAATGTCCCAGTCCTTTCTGCAACTGCAGTGTTCCCCCCTCTTTCCTTTCTCATATAAGTCCTTTCTTCCTCTTATTTACTAATTTCTTTTACATATTTCCAAAGTTGCCTTCCTTTTTTTCTAAATCCTTTCCTTCATATCGTAGGTGGAGGAAATCACCAACAAACGCATTCCCAAAGAGGTTTGATCGCAGGCACGCGCCTGGTCGTAAAAATATAAGCTAAATCTTTTTGTAATATGAATAAAAACCATATTACACCGACTCTAAATAATAATTGGGATAAGGGTAGGAAGATGATGATGATGATGGTTGTTTAATAAAGGGATTTTTCCTTATTATTTATTTATTTACATTAAGTACAGGGAATTAAAAATAGAAAAGGGGTTTACCCTATAAAAACTGTTTTTTTTTTTGTATGAAAATACAATAGTTACATATTGTTTTGTATTAGTGTATATATATTTTCTAGTTTTTACGACAATCTGTTCGCTGCAAGTTGTACTGCTATGGAATAGTTTAGCAGTTTCTATACGAAATATACAATCTTTGTCGAGTTTTAAAACAAAAATTAAGAACTTTTATCAGAGCAAGTTGTCATCTTCTTAATTTGTTTATTTGTATGGTTAGCATACTTATTTCTTTAGATATCTAAAAATTTTATAACTTTACGTTTTATATCTATATATGTCAGTAGGTATGTGTTTATATACCTACCTACCTATAAAAATAGGTGTTTATATACACAAACATATATAAGTTTTTAAAAATGATAGAATTTTCATCGTGCCTCCGATATCTTTATAATTACTTTTTTCCATCCAAAGGTTGCTTGGAAGATATCGCTTTTAGCAATAAAGTCGCCAAAGTTGTTTTCTCACTATGATCATTTATTGTAATTGTTTGTATCTATAATAAATTTATTATTCTAATTTTTCAGAAGAAATAATAAAAAGTATTTATGTATATAAGCGGGATTTCAATGGTGAATGAAATGGTGAGCATGGAGTTAGATCAGTCGGTCCATTGTGACGGATTCATGAATAATCATAGATGGTTTCCAGGAGGAGACCGTGTAAAAGTAAACATGATGTCCTGTTATGTTGAAAATCACGCGGACTCCGGTACTTGCAATGGTGACTAGAGTGCCCATTACTAACGATTCCTTCTCATGCTAGACAATTCGTCTCATAGAGACGAAAATGGAATGGAAATCTCGCTTGCGATGCCAGTATACACTGACAGAGTCTGAACCACTAAATGAAGAAAAGTGAGGATGAAGTGAAGTTAGTCATTGTGAAGTCGTAAAAGAGCCCAGAGTTAACAAACAAACTCACATTTCGAATATCAGTGATTACGTATTTTCTTCGAGTTGGAAGTTTTCTGTGCAAACTTCATATTGAGAATTGTAGGCACCTAATTTTAACGCATGATTTCTAAAATTAGCATACCCTTCCTTTGTTGTCATATCCTCGTAAATAGGTGTTTGTGATTTGTAATGTACTTATAACACAAAGACAAGAC